CTCTGTTATGAATTGCGCTACACTGTTTGCAAACTAGTTCTCAACGAATTTGCTCGAGCTAATCGTTGAACTTCATGCACGATCGATATACGAATATTTACACGAGTTCTGAACACATCGCCGCGGTCTAAGTTTCGCGTCTATACAAATTGAACGTAACCGATCATATTTTAGAAACGTGTTCCGACTGATTAAACTGAAAATTGACTAAATTCGTATTCCTCTACACGCATGCTGGATTTGCGTTTAATTTCAGTTAAGCGATTGTTCAATTTTCATTCGTCTGAAAGAATAACAATAATATAGTGGACAATTTAATAACATATACACTCGACGAAATTTGTCAACGATGAAGAGGAAAGATTACACGATAAGAAAAAAAATTGAATTGCATTGTTTATACTTGGTTAAGATTTTGATGATGGCCTTGGAATAGTCACCTATTTTCAAAGTTTTATTTCGTTTTGTTTTTATAAACGGACAAATGCGAATTAACGGAAGTGTAAATAACGAAATATAGGCAATTAAAGGACCTGGAACTTTGGTGGCACGGTAACTCGCGTAATAAAGGTCGATTAAAAGACGGAAGGATAAACTCGCCGAGTCAGATATTATTTTGGAAAACCGGGACAGAACTCTTAAGCAAACACGGTTTCGTAAACTGCCTCTTTCAAAGATCCGACCACCTTTAAATCAAACAAAACGACCACGTTGTTTGGCAACTGCTTACCTACTTCCATTGAGACTCTGAAAACTTCGAAAAAAAATCGTCCTGTATACGAGAACTTGGATTAATATTTGTTCAAGTGGATAAAAACAAAGGGAAAATTAATCACGTGAAAGCCAATAGATTTGTTGCTGGACAATACGTTTTTGTGCAAGAAAAATTTTATTTCGAAGTCATTGATGTATGTATAGGATAAGTAGATACGAGAATGAGAATTTTAAGTGGTCTGCATTGTTTAGCTTTCTAGCGTGTGGTTGCAGCGAGTTTGAAAACAGGATATCGAACGAAAGTTTCGAAAGAGCTACTTTCAGAGTCTATCTCAGAACAAAATATATTCTTATAAATATTAAGAACGTTTCTTTTTACTTTCTCGTTGTACTTTAAGCTGCCATCGTCAGCAATGTACGTCAGAGCTACCAGTTACATGTAAAACTATGAAATTTATACCGTCCGAAGATCTTTTGCACTATCGCGCTGGAACAAATCTGTTTAGTTGCGTGGAAGAAGTATGTAAATGCTTGGGAACTGAATTGAAGAGAAGAAAGTGATATAAAGGACAAAAGAGCAAACAGCAAATATATTTAAAAAATTTTTCAAGCATTATCGTTTCAGAATTTTCTTTCCTCAATGTTTCAATATTTATAATTAAAAAAATATATATAAGTACCAGTGGTACTACTACAACCAACAGTGCAATGACTTTGTATCTTACGATACTACTTTCTTATATATTAATAAATTACTAATGTGAATCTTCAAATAAATAACTTCAAATATAAAATTTCTTTCGTTATCAAAAGTTTTTGTTTTGTTTCAATACAGCACGTGACTTTTACGTATTGTTTAAGGGCATTTTCCCTCTCCATGAAATTCGTTCAATTTCAACCAAAGGAATTAATCAAATTCACTTTAGATATCTCCTAGATATTGAACTGTCTCTTATATAAATGAATCTGAAGGCTTCGTAAAAGATGGCAGCTCAAAGGCTTCTAATCAGGGTGGTGAATCAGTCATTAGTAATGACTCATTACTTCCGAATTAAACTGCCTCGGGTTTCAGGCCATGCTCTTTTTTTTCTTTTTTTTTTTTTTACTGTACGAGCAAATGACCCGTTTCTTCAGCCTGATCAGCTTTCAGCAATGCTCGATTTGATTGAATGATAAAAGAATATGCGAATGAAATACTTTTTCCTCGTGGTGTAACGTTACAAGAAATTCTAGATATATCGTTCGCAGATACGGTTCAATTTGTCTCGAATAATTGTATCCAATAATCGAACACGAAATTCGATCTAATTCAACGGAGAATTATCCAATTTCATTCTTGTTAAATCCGGAATATATTCTGTAGTTGTGTCGATGGGATTCAAGAAGAATTAAATCTCGTCTGTAATTAATCTAGATGCATGGTGTAACGCGATCCCCAAAATTTCGAACATTTAAAGAAACACGGAGAAACATTATATGTGTTACGTTACCTAAGATAATAAGAGATACTGAATGTACATTTTGCACGTTGGATATTAGACTATTAGAGAACAGCGAACAATGAAACTGCGGACAATGAACATCGAAAGCTACTCGATCCTTTAATTACATTTCGCTTCATAGTTGCAAATATTTTGCTTTCGCGGGAACTTCAACCACGGGATAAGATAGACTCGCTGGGGAGCGCAGCGACTAAAATGATTATTCGATACTTGGCGAGTTTTCGAGTTGTTGAAATATCACCGGCAGATAATGAAAATGTCATTTTGCGCAACCTGAGAAGCAAGAATCGTGTTTAAGATCGCGTTGAGCGTCGTAATATTTTCGATATTCGTGACTTTTCCACTAAAGATTAAAAAGTGAGAAAAATCGAAATTTACTTTTGAACGAGTAGATGTTAATAATAATTCAAGATGTTGTACAGCACGTGATTTATATGTTAGAAATTAATTAAAAGTCTCAAATAACGAAGGAAATTCGTATTATACCTCGCGTTTTACTTGTTAACGGGATATACGTGCCCCATTATATGATATCCACGATATCACGGTGACAGAGATGCTCAAAGTGATTTGCATCTCAAGGCATGGCTGTTAACATTTTGTTATTAACGCTTGCAGCGGGAGGAACTGGGTCATTTCCGGTCACCGACATAAAATGTTCACTTTACAGTGAAAAACCGAACGAAAATACTTTTCAGCCCCAACTTTTAATTTACACGCAACTTTCTCTCCTAACAGATAAATAAATAGAAAGTTTTTCAAATATTTTAATCAAATTACCCTTTGACGATCCATGTCCATGTTTTCATGTAATCGAGATTTCGATTAATCGAGAATTCTGTTCGCTAGTTGCAAGCAGACGTAAGAAACTTTAATAATTACAAACTTTAATAATTACTTTAATTAGGAGAACGCGGTCCACGAAAATTTTAAGTGCGATGAAATTTTAAGGTTCTTGTACACACTTTGTTCTTCCACTCGAGCAAATTAGGCTGTCGCGTGCACGCATTATTACCACCAGAATAATTTGGACGAGTTGCGTCTGGATCGCCGGGAAATCGTGTCTTTTGCCCAATAATTTATTCAAAATTCCCAGTCCCCTAACCCCTGTAACTTCCATCTGCACGAAATGTAAGTTTCAACGGTGTAATGCAAGTTTCAACTCCGACCGTCCTCGGGTGATCTTTTCTTCCAGAAAGGAAAGAAAATTCCAGGTCGCGCCGCACCCGTGAATTTACAGCGCTTATAATATTAGCGCTCGCTTGCAAATATTTTGTCCAACGTTCAATGCTAATTAACTCAATTGTAGATATCTCTGCTGACATTTAACAGATATATATATATATACCTGCTATTCAAGATATTAATTATAATATCGTATGAATGTATCAAGTAGTATAAGAAGACATTAAGACCCATTTATTCTCGATATTAGGAGGCTTATAAACCTCTTCACTTCAGGCAATAAAAAACTATATTTTTACTGGATTCCCTCTCATATTGGTATTACTTTTAACGAAACAGCGGACAGTTTATCTAAAGAAGCGTCGTGTACTAATATCTCGACAGACACATTGGTTCCATTCTCTGATTTTAGCTTTAAAAAGCAGGCTAAGATGGAAACAGAAAGACAGAATATCTTGGAAGCTGAATTTAAGGGTAAAAATTTTTCAAAAGCTATTACCTTCTGCTAAATCATGGTTTTTACGTAGAAAACTTCCTAGAGACTTTATTTGCTGGACGAACAGACTTCGAACAGATCACATGCAACTAGCTGCTTCCCTCTTTAAAATTAACTTAACTCTTGATACAAAATGTCAGTGTGGCAATTTAGTTCAAGATCTCAACCATATAATTGGAGCAGTGCCCCAATCTCAACAATAGGAATGTCTTAATTAATAAGCTATGAGGAATGGGTGATTTCTCTCCCCACACAATGAACTTCTTTTTAAGCAAACCATATATTACTCCTCTGTTGATTATTCACAAATTTCTCAAAAGCCATGGTTGGCATCTGTCACGGATCTGTGTTAAGTGCTTAGCTGTGTTTCTCAGTGACTTGACAGTTCTCTTAGTTTTAGTTGTAAACTCTAGTTGTAAGTATGTAAATAGCAAATATGCATCTTAGTTGTATGTCAGTGAAATCCTTGTACAAAAGTCTGCGAAATTGTTTCTGTACTGTTAGTATGCAATGTGCATGCTGCTAATAACCTTGTAAAAGAGTTCTATAGCGTAACAAAAAAAAAAAAAAAGAAAACTCTGTCTGCTCATCAATTATAGATTATTGTCGTGACTCTTGAAATTACAATTACTACTTTGTCGGCAACAGCAGAGATAATTCAGTGATCGGAATTGGAAATTTATGCACGTTTCGAAGGTATTCTTTATTCTCATTTCCACCAGCTTCATCAGCAATTCGGGAGCAATTTGCAATTTCTCATAGAAACTTTATTGACGAGAACGTCGATGCACTTTTGGAAATTTCATAAAATATATAAATAGAAGCTTCTGTTCTTTATTTCTGTATATTAATTTTTCTAACAGAATTATTATACACTAGTCTTTTGACAAGAATTTAAATATCTTACGATCAACCACAAAAAAAAAAAGACACGTTATATTATAGTAGAATACTCTCAATCGATAGATCTTTGCGCCCTTATTGAACAATACTTCGTACTTATCGAAGCGTGCATTATATTTACATATATACATATGATCTTCAGATGGAAAAATTTATGCAAAGCATGCACAACATAAAGCAGTTTAGAGAATAGTGTGTACTTACTCGGGTCGTATACGACGGATATTGAAGTTATGAAACGTCAGCTTGACGATTTCGTCGGGTTGACCGATAAACGTGTAAAGCAGGCAATCGATATTTGATGGATATCGCTTCGGATAATAAGGGGATGTAAACGTGCCACCTTGAGGTCTGTCCGAGCTGCTGTAAACGACGCAGGAGCAACCTATAACACGTGTAACAGATATTTCGTAATTACCATACTATCGTAAATTAAATCGCAAAGAAATATTGCATGTCATTTAATATTACATGCATCACGAGCAATTAACTACACGTTTTCAGATATTATATTTCGAAAAGAAATGGAACGATTTTGAACATTTTGTGAAGTTTTATTCTAAAGTGACGACAGTGTTGTTTTGCATTCGTTTGCGAAAATTTAGAAACAACTGCCATATGTACAGTAAAATGAATAAAACTTCTTACTCTTATTAATTATTGCAATAACAACAATAGTACATTTTGTTTACTTTAATATCACCACAGTTATTGTATAGCAGACATTCGTTCTGATTAATTCATGTTTCCCAGTAAGCAAACGCGAGAAGCATTATCATTTTTTCAGAGCTCGTACAACTTTAACGAAGAAGTAAACTAAAGTCTGTAAAACATTTCGCTTGTAAGTCTTAGGACACTTTCACTTTTGATTTTCAATACATACATATATTATAATACAATATAATACGATATATTAATACGTTTATTGTATAAAGTGTATTTTATATTTATTGCATTTAATTATATTGCATGTATTGTAGTATAATAACAAAATATATTAACATATCAACAAAGCCTTTATAAAGTACTAATATATTTACTGAATTTAATTTAATTTCATTATACGTATGTGTTGCAATATAATAATACGATATACCTATTAATATATTAACAGAATCGTTCTTGCACAAACTATGTCTTCTATTTACTGTATTTAATTATATTGTATATATTGTATTTATTGTAAATACAACAATTTATATTATACATCGCACACTGTTGCAATACCTTTACATTGTGTAAATTACATTGTGAATATAGTTTATAATTCAATGCACAAAATATAGCACTCGTCCCAAGATTCCTGATCAGAGGCGTAGACTTTCCAGGCGCAGAATAGAATATCACGCAACGCTTTTAACAGGAAGCTGACTCGAACAATGGCATAAAAATTTCACGGTAATGAAATCCGCCATCTGACAGCCTGCCGAAAGTAATGCTTCCGTCCGAAGGTCCAAAAACTTTTCTTATTCCCGAAATGAACTCGTCACTTTTCCCATCGATCTTACTCCGAGGTTCCTGTGCACCTTCGCGCGCTCTCCGACCACTTCTCCCCCGTACCATCGATCCTACCGTCAATCTCGAAGAATCAAATTAAAGTTTGACTTCTCTGTGAGGAAACGTACCGCAAGAGACGCACGGTAACTTTTCCACGAAACTTTCAGCAACAAAATCACCGATTGCTCGAGCAGATGGCTCGCTGGTTAATAATCGATGGCGGTGAGTCACGGCAACAGCGAAGGATGCCTGCATTTTCGATACAAGGATGATGCCAGGAACGACGAGAGTCGACAGTACCTGGGAAAAGAAGCTGCGAAAGAATTGCCGCGATCTGTCAAAGCTCGCGTCCGAGGGCTCGTATCGGGACAACGCGATTTAATTTCCTGTTTCCACGTTTTCTTCTGGCTGGTTTAACCAGTCTGGAACGCCGGGAATCCCGATATGTTTGCCACAATGAAATCGCGACAGAACTCGTGGAAGGAAACTCGTCTGTTTCTTTCTTTCTTTCTTTCTTTTTTTTTCTGCAGTTAAACAATTGAGTGACGTAGAAATTACACCGCAATTATAAATCGAACTTGGTGTTTCTTGGTTTTTGATGTTTCAGCTTCTTCAGGAACGAAGAATCGAATTAGCCTCGCTTTTACGAATTGTTGACATTCGTTATTCAATTTATCAAAAAATGTGTAGTCTTAGCTCGATGAGTTTATTTGCCAGAAGATTTGTAACGTTCTATTCTATTTCTATTCTATATACGTTTCCCGTTTTTTAATTTGTGGAATTAATCGGTATAGTTTGCGAACTGTTTATTTAACTCTCGCGTAATAACGTTGTAGATTAATACAGTAATTTGTATTAATATATTATCAAAAATAAAGACGTTTAACTTCATTTTTCACTTTAAAATCTTCGAGGTTAGTGATGAAATTGAATTAAATTAAAGATATTCCAAAGTTTGAAAACTTAAACTTCCGTTTCATGGACTCCAACGTTTAACGATATTAATTAAAAACTAAAATTAATTCTCACTCTCAATATTTTACTCGGTGTTTTAAAACAAAACCCAATCGAAGAAAATCACGCGTTGCTAATAAAAATTTCCTCACGCTTGAGTTTAAATCTCGTTTAAACGCGAGATATTTTTTAATACAAGCAGATCGAAAAAGCGACCGAAACAAAATTTTAACAAAATAAACTACTATAAATAATCCTCTTCCTCGAGCCCCAGCATATATAAAGAACGTCAGTACGTTTAACAATATTTCTCTATCAGTCGATCGATTTCCATTGTGGTCCACGTAAGATGGTTATCGGGTAAACCCAGAAAAAGCCTATTCGAAGTTCATGGTCCGGCGTTATCATCAATGGTATACCGAGGCAGATAGAAGGTCGCTTTCGGAACGATCCACGAAATGTGGGTCATTACGAGGGCTCGTCGATACGGGCGCAATAATTTATCCGCAACAATATCACCGACCCCTCTCCGCGATTAATTCGCGTCGGCCGGTTCGGCTAGCGAGCAGTTTCCGTTGATTATTTTCGCGGAACGTGATTCATTAGAAAGCGTTCGTCCAACAGAACGCGATTAATCGGAGCAAACCGATTTATAAGAGTGCCAGTCCGACGGCGCTCGATCGATTGATCCGTCATTTGAAAAACCAGGAACGGAAAGGATTCGTTCTGCTCGGCGATCGGTGTCGCGTTTCGACTGACGCGTATTAATCGCGCGGTTCGCGGTTCGTTTGCAGTTTGCTGAAGAGCTTCAGAAGAGCGAATTAGCAAAACTCGAGAGAAAAATTTCGCTCATTTTTGCTTGCACAGTAGCCACGCGATTTTCTATCACCTCTAGCGTAGTGGTGAACAAATTTTGCTCTGCGATAATCGAAAAACAAATATTGCGGTATACTTGTATTAGAAATATTAGAAATATTAAATTTCTAATATTTAATATAAAATAATAATAATATAATATAATAATAGTAATAGTAAATTTCTAATATTTAATATTAAATAATAGTAATATAATATAATAATAGTAATATTAAATTTCTAACATTTAATATTAAATAATAGTAATATAATATAATAATAGTTATATTAAATAATAGAAATATTAAATATTAGAAATATTAACTTTCTAATATTTAATATTAAATAATAGTAATATAATATAATAATAGTAATATTAAATAATAGAAATATTACTTGAGAATATTATACTTGTATACTAACGAGATATTAGACACAAAATCAAGGAAGTCATAGGACTTACTGACTTTATGATATGTAAACGTTGTTTTCGAGTAATTACTAAAGATTGAATTTGGTTTTGTTCCTTATTAAAAAATTCCGACTCTGACAGAATTTTCTAATTGCAAGTCGATTTTCATCAAGGCGACTATTAGAATGATCATTTATCACAATTTTCATTTTTGAAAATATTAATATTTTTACACAGACTAAGCACTACCACCAAACACACTGATTATTTGCCTAGAGAGAAATTCATCAGGTGGAGAGTACAATTTTTATAAAAAAAAAAAAAAAGTATTATTCTCTGTCCGTATGACTCATTATTGGACTCAACATTCGCTAACAAAGAACAATAATAATAACAATGTCAATGATAAAAATAAAGACCAACATTTTCAAACTTACTTCCCTGTTCAACGTTACTTTTGCGAATCGATCATTTCCATTTGAAAAACTTCGAGAAAACCCCCTCAACGTCAATATTGAGCGATGATGACGAAATACCAGAATTAGTTTCATTTTTGCGCTGCTTTCAGGTAAATGAAGTGCAACACTGAGGGGCTAAGTAGTTGAAAAGCCACGGGGGTTGCTCACCACTGTCTTAGCACTTTTTCTCTCTCTCTCTCATTCTCTTTTCTTTTCTTTTTTTTTCTTTCTTTTCGTCCGTGCGTTCTCGCGTCTCTTTGCCCGCCCGCCGTTCCTCTTTATTTTCTCATTTCCTCCATTTTCCTTCCCTTCGCTTTCGTCTTTCTTCCACGGGTGCTTACGAACCCGTGCCTCGCCGGTACAACCATCACGCCAGAACGAGTTATACCGCGGCTGAGCCGTGCGTCACGATCGCGTTTGCCCTCGCGATCCATTCAGCGACATCTCCGCTCGCTTTGATACATCAAATATGAACGCTGGGACGCGTTATAAAATACACGGTGGCTGGAATTTGTCAACGTCGAGATCCCACGAGCTTTTTCCGAGTCGCGCCACACGCCAGAATCTGAAAGCGCACTCTGTGATCCGAACTGTCTACGATCGACTTGACAAACCACGATTCTTTGTTTCCACCTCTAGTTTCTTTCAATTCGGTGTTACGCTCAATTTAGCAAACCAGCAAGGTTTCTTTACTTTAAGAGACTCTGTGAAATTTAATGAAAGGGTCATTTAGGGTAAATCGGGGAGTGATGGCCCACTTTAAAAAAAATTGTTTCGCCTTAACTATGATCGACATTTAAAATATATATATTTACTTAACAGAAGTCTAATGATTATTTTCTTAATTTTCTGTTTGAAAACGTTATAAATTTATGTGTACCTACTTCCCAATTCATGTGTAAAAGTCACGGATAATTAATAAATCACGAAAAATTAATTTTCTCTCAAATACAAACGCGAGTGTCTGTATCAAGTGGTCGGGGTAGAAACACTGGGATATCGGAAATTTTGGACAATGACGGAATATTAATTTTCACAATGCCTCACACACTGACCTATAACTTACGTCTTACTAACTCACTTTACGCGCTCGTGGCCATTGTGAAAGAAAATTCGATAACACTGGAGAGAGTACAGAATCTTAATTGCTCATTTTTCTCTGTGAGCCGCTGCGAAAATCTCTGGGGGAGATCATTGTTCGGTCACGTC